AATAACCAGTGAAATTTTATTCGATGGATTTATTCGAAATATTATCGACGAATCAAATTTTTTTCGAAAAACTTATTCGAAAGTTATGTTTATTAGTACACAAATTGACGAAAGTCCTTTATATTGTTTGCATTCCATTATCATGTACGACTATAAAATTCTGTTTAATTAATTAATAATATATCGGTGTTTGTAACTACAAAACATCATTGTAAAAAGAAGAACGCGAAATAGGTAGAAAGAAATTTCTACTTTTCTATTCTGCCCATATCCTTAGCCATTTAAAAGCCAAAATAATCAGCAACGTGATTTCCTAGTTCGTGGAAAAGTCAAAGTAATTAATGCGCGGCAGTGAAAATCAAAATTCTTCATTTGCCACGACCAACGAAATATTACTATTCTTGTTATTCGAGAAAAGGTGCATATGGCCGAAGAACTGACAGTTAACGAGGCATTTTGAAAAATTACGTTTTCCCTACTTTTACATACGCAAACGCGGTGTTGTCGAAGCCGAGGGAATATTTGCGAATAGATTGAGCAATCGTCAACAAGGTTCGAGCAGCAAATATTTTTCGCGTAGCCGCGCAGCTGTGTGTATAATTATTTAGTGATGATGCCACGAAGGTGCGTACAAATAACGGGATCGAGTAAACTGTTCCGATTCTTTCTAACGTTGACCCTGGGCATTAATAGAAGATCGAAGAAAAAAAAAGAAGAAAAAAAGCAAACGGACCGCGTGTTTATGCTCGAACAGGGGCAGCGGCGGCAGCACTTATCACAACAATGAATCAACTCGAAATTGTTTTATTTAACGTTTACTTGCGATCGGGACCCGGCGCGCGGCGTTATTAACTAATCCAGCCCCGGGCATTCCTTTATAACCGTTCAACGACGTTTATTGTTGCAATCTGTTGCGAGCATAATCGCTTTATAAACGCGTTTTAAGCACGCAGCGCCTTTGTTGACGACGTCTGACTCGCTCTTTGGCCGCGGTCAAAGAAAATATAAGGAAACCAGCCGCATGATCGCACCGCCACTAATCTGCTGATCTACGGTGTGCTTTGAATACAATCAAGATTCCCGGCCGATTGTGCGATCGCTGTCTCCTGTAAACATTTCGTTTGAAACTCCTTTTATCAGCGTAATTTCTTTCGTATTCTTCGGCGACTCCATTGTTCGGAATCGCATCGGCGACAGATACGATCGTTCAATAACGAGTCGGAATATATATCCATTGTGAGCCTAGAACAAGGCGTTTTTAATGCACGATTAAAACAGCACTCGGTGCAGATCCTCCGAGACAGATACGAACTTTATTTACTACTTTTGGGTCATTGCATTTTTAGCTGCAAAAGTATTTCGTGACACGAGCTGTAATCGTATATATTAGGTGTTATGATAATTTTCAATCGACTAACTCGATTGTTATTAATTATAGATTACTTGTAATAACTGATATATTCGATTATAAATTGTTAGTTGTTATAACTAATCTGTAAGAATTTATAATTAACTGACCCGTTAGTTGTTGATAATAATCGTTAATCGTTGATCAGATTAATTTGTACACATATACGATTATAGCTCGCGCGTTAATTATTATAACTAATTATAGATCAATTATAGATTATATTATAATAATTATAGATTAGTTATAAACGATAATACTTATAGATCAATGGTAGATTATAATAATTATAGATTAATTATAGATTAGTTATGGATGATAATAATCATAGATTAATTATAGATTATAATAATTGTAGATGAGTTATAGTCGTATACACTGCGTTTCGCAACTATAAAACCGGTCAAAAAATTTTCAGCTTTTAATCTGTAATTATTATACGTTAGTTAGTATTTTTACCCAACTCTTTCGTAAGGTCTCTCACACGTTTAGCCTTAAAATTCTTCTTCCACCAAGGGCTCGCGCTCGTTAAATTAATAAATAATAATAACAATAATAATAATAATAGTTCTGCAACCGGAGAACCTATCGCGATTCCTATGCAACGCGTGCAAGTACTATTTAAATACACACAAATCGAAAGTGGAAGTAATTAGTACGTTCGTTGCGAGAGCCATCGTGGCGTGGATGTTGGCTTATCTTCTGACCCGTCGTCTTCGAGGAATTTTACCCTAGCCGATGGAGAGTTCGGCAAACAATGTCGACTATTCCTAACTTGTAGCCAGGAATTGGACGAGGTCCGTGTGTGCTGATCACACAAGCCGGAGTACTTGCACACGGAGTTCACGCGGGACACGTCTGCTTTATGAATGCATAGCGCAGAGAAAAGTACTTTGCCTCCCCATTTCTCGCGACTCGAGACCGCAGGCACCGGGGTTTATCTATCAATGATGCACGCGCTGTAAAAATATTCCTCTGAGTACACCGGGCTTGTATTTTTAGACCGAAACACGTCTCCGGCACTACCGAGGACGATCAACCGTCGCCGCAGAATCAATTTTCTATAACCATCGTGCAAATAAACGACAAATACTGTCGCGAGAAGCTGAAAATAAAATTGCGCCGGTTGATATCGAATTTGACGAATCGCTCCACTGCTGGATTTTGTTAAAACGAAACGATCGCACGGTTTCATTGAAAATTAGGAAGGACGAGCGAGCTGCTTTTACGAAGAAGTTAAATGAAACTGTATGATTCTACTATTGGTAGATAACTTATCTCAGATTTCATTGGACCAGCAAGTGGCTCTGTAGATGTAACCCATGACTTCATATAATATTCAATTTAAGTTTGTATTAAAAATTTACTCCACATGAAATTTTGATTTTCAAATCTATCCTATCGTATCTCTATTACAATCTAGTGCCATTTAAATCTCTATTAAAAAAATCGACTGCGATTTAAATTTTTACTTAATTCCATTATAACTAAATCTGGCCCCATTTAAATTCAATTATAATTAAAAATTATATATTCTAAATTTTTTTTAATTAAAGATTTATTACAGAGTTTAAGTTCCTCTTAAAAATATATCATAATTTATATTTTTATTAAAAAATTACTACACATTAAATTTCTATTAAAACCAATATCTTAACGCGTTGCCTAGTTCAACGAGTCTGACTCGTGATGGAGATTACTAATTATAAACTTTCAAGTCGGAATAATATTCTGTTCTCTTGTTGTCGATATTCAAACGTTCAAGCAAATGCTAGCACGCGATAAATACTTTTCTTTTTCTCCGAGGGAATTATTACAATCGAATAAGTTCATTGTAGCTGTGAAGAAGATGCCACGGCAAGAGATCATATCAAATCGTTATATTTATTTTAAAGTTCGATTAAAAGCAATATGCTCTTTCTTGGAAAACGGTGTTGTACTAACGTGAACAATTAAAAGATCGAGTTACAGAGGTTCTCGCCCCAACAGATCGTTGCAGAAACGTATACTTCTCACAGAAGTTGATGTTCCGAAGCGAAAGAACGCGATATCCATATTCATCTGAAATGTACAGTGTGAACTCTTCCGGACGGGTAAAACTGAATAAGGCGAAGGATAGCAGAATGGTAACTCCTGTACGCGGTTCGAGACGATCCCCCGTTTTCTCAGGAAATCAGAGATCCATCATGTTTTATGGCATTCCATCGGCTGTCACCGATGGGTACACGTGTAACATTATCGGCGAGCAACGTTCCTTTTGCAATGTTATGACACGTTCGTCAAGCTTTCTAACGAATGTCCCTCGATTTCGCGGCGGGCCTTGTTCCACTTTTTTAAACTGGCGCGTTTGCGCCTCCCGTAGATGGTGTTAATTAAAAGTCCTTAGAAGAATTTTCCCCGGCGACACGTCTCATTAATGCTACGTTCCGGGAATACTAATCCGTTCGCTGTCATTCATTAAAAAAAAGGCGCGTACACGCGGTTTCGCGTTACACACCGAGCATAGTTATAGCCGCGATTACACGCGCTATGAACAGGTAAAAAATCTACCCGCGACAATTTCGCTGCTCGCTTCCTCGAGGTTCCTTTATTCGCTAGGCGGCATTTTACGTTTTCATTTCGGAACAGGTACCGTTCTCTCACGGCTTTTTGCAACGAGATCACACAAACGCGTAAAAATGTCCTTCACAGTTGCGATAATCAGACTGGGTTAAATACAATTTATCTGCATTGATCTTAGCTCGCTTAAGGGCGCACGGAATTTGAACACGTCTCTTCGTTCTAACAATGTTATTTTATACATTTTTTATATTTTATTTTTGCGTTAATAGATACGGAAATGAATTGTTTCATAGTATTGTCTAAATAAGTATACTTCGAACAGAAAATAATACGAATCTTCAAACGTTTTTGTTGTTTCGTATTCGAACTAATGTCTGCAATAAATGCGTAAAAGTCTCTGCTCTAATCGTGGCAATTAATGTGCCACAAATCTAATCTCCTTAAGAAGAGTTTACGGTTCCTTTCAGCATCCTTTGCTTGCCGTTCTATTATAATTAATAAAGCTGTGCTTTAATGAACGACGATGATGTTTTTAATGAATTCATTGAATATGTTAATATAGTATAGTGAAACATTCCATGAAACTCAGAAATGTTGTTTCAACGAAAAGTGATGTTGTGATAGTAACGATTAGTTTGTGTATTTCATGCATTTATGATAAAAATGAGTAGACGAAACAGGGCACAATAATACTATCAGAACAATTTAGCAATTCGATTATATTATTATTTATAACTGGACTGCGGATTTTATGAATTCATGGCACAAATGAACGGATGCGTACAAGCGAACGAATGGAAAGAAACTAAGAATGTTGATGTAAATTTAATCAAGATCGAAAGAGTTAAACAATTAAGTCGCAATCGAAATTAAGACCCGCGGTCTAGTAAATGATAAATAGATGAATCATGGTCGAAGCTGTGTCGAGATAATTTGTTACTGCGACATTTAATGCAACTGAATCGAAATAAATTGCAATGCATGAGTGAAATATTCAGCGAATCACAGGAATGTATCGGACATGTTGCAGGCGGCATGTGCTGGTCTTCCATCAGCAATGGTCGTTGCAAGGAGTTGCTGTCGCAAGGGGTGACAAAGGACAATTGTTGCGCGTCGAACGCAGCGGCAGCGACCGCCTATTCCGAGGAGGACCTCGACAGTGGAAGTCTTTTTTTTTGGCAAGTTCTCGGCGGAGGAGTGCAGTGCCGTCCTTGCAGAGGTACGTTCAAGCATGCGATCCAAAAAATATATAACATCACCCGGCGCGTTCTAGAAAATAATTTACATTAATTTTCGCGCGAGTCAATGAATTCTAAAACGTTCGTCGCTCTGGACGAACGTTGGAACCTTGTGTGTGCGTTCGTATCGTACAACGATAATATCACGTTTTCAGAATTCTATCGTTGTGTTCGATATCGCAGCGCATTACGCATGGAATGGCTGGCAACCATAAATCAGATAGATTCGCTGTTTTATTGACGCACACGACCGTTTTACCAATTAGTACTCCGCGTTTATTCGTATTCCCGGCGATCCACTAACAGTTTCGCATAACGAACCATTTAGTAGAAGAATAGTCAGATTCGTAGAATGCATAAGCGTTCTTAGCGAATTCCTGCGAAAGAACTACGCCTATTTTCCACGTATCGTATTCCTCTATTGCACATTGTATCATGTAATCGCGAATCCTTCCTTTCGCTCCCAAAGGAAAACATAAAACAGCTTCGATCCTCGGACACTCTTCGTTTGGAAAGTTCGCTGATTCTCCATGTACTTTGATGTATCGTATTTGTTTAAATAGATGTGCCCGATTTCGCCGCGACAATTCAAATCGCGACGAGCAACGCGATGCTCGATCGGCTGAAGGTCGCGCGAAGGTCACGTTATTACAGGTCGTTGGATTCGCTTTGATCGTAGCTGTCGCGATACAACGGTAGAAATGTATAGTCCTATTTAAAAAAACATCGATGACCTTGAAATCTCGAAAAATATGACCTTCAAGGAGAGAACCATTTCCATCGCAGTATGCGTCCCTTCGAACCATACAATCTATTCCTCTGGCATTATTTTAGTGTCGTTAACGATAGTGGAGATATTGCTTTGTAGGAGCTTTAGTGTTAACACCCTGTATACATATCGTCACCGATATACAGGGTGTCCCAAAGTTATGGTACTTCCGGGAAATGAGGGATTCCTGAGGTCATTCGAAGTAACTTTCTCCTTAGCGTAAATGCAATCCGCGAGTTTGTTTACGACTTATTAACGAAAAACAGTGACCAATAAGAGGCAAGTCAGCTGGCGCGAGGCGGCCGAGCCAATGAGCGAAACTTGAGCTTCGTCCGCTCGTTGGCTCAGCCGCCTTGCGCCAGCCGAGCTGGCCTCTGATTGGTCAGTGTTTTTCGTTAATAACTCGTAAACGAAGCCGCGGATTGCATTTTCGCCGAGGAAAAAGTTGCTTCAAATAACCTGAGGAATTCCTGATTTCCCGGAAGTGTCGTAATTTTGGGGCAGCCTGAATGACTGACGCGGCAGTGAATGCGTCGATGCATCAGGCGTTTTCGTAACTTGGAAACGTTGTTTTGCAGAGAGCTGCGCGGAAGTGAGGTGCGAGGCTGGTAAAAAGTGCGTGGTGCGTAAGGGAAGGCCGCGGTGCGTCTGCAGCCCCGAGTGCAAGGCGCCGAGAGGCGGTGGTCCGGTTTGCGGAACGGACGGCAAGAGTTACAAAAATCTCTGCAGGCTGAAGAAACGCGCTTGCAAGAAGGGCAGCCACGAGCTAGCGGTCGCCTATAACGGCCACTGCCAAAGTGAGTATGTATGAATGTGATGGAATCATTATCACACGACCGCATTTGTAATTGAATCGCTGCCGATTGATCGATCCCGGCTCGTTTTTATGGAGCGACGCGCGTCGAGTAACAGGAGTTAATTCAATCTTCAACGCGGACACAAATGTGCATGCTTCAGCACTGCGCGTTCGGTTGATTTAACATTCAGCGCGGAAACCCCGTGCGGGATTATCGGCAGTATTCAAATGCAAAAATCGATTTAAGCCTTGGCTCTAGTAACTACTTCTAAATAGATACCTTGGGGCATCTCGTGTTAATGGTTTATAACTGTTTATAGACTCTATACGATGTGCAATCAACTATCAGCGGTCATCTTTTTAGGGGACGATTTCCGTATGCTGAACTGAAAATCAGCAAATTATCGGTAATTATTAGACCGCGGATCTTTATGCAAATTAAACATTATGTAAATAAAAAGTGAGATAGTAGTTTGTTTGCTTTCTTAATATGTACGTCTAATAGGTTGAAAATAATGTAACAGCGATCTCTTAGAATCTCTTAGAATTTTTTCACTATTTCATGCTCCACCCATGCATTTTTCTTAGAAATGCATAAAATCCGCGGTCTAGTAATTATAGAATCTTCTGACTGACTTGCTAGATCACAATAAATAGATCCTTAAAATTCATCAGTTGATAGCCTAGGCTAATCCTGTGCATTCAACACTCCTACTTTACACTCTTGCGCTGGAAATTTATCGATAGATACCTGTGACCTCTAACACAATTGTTTACAGAATTAACAGTCTGTCGAAGATCATTGTTAATAATCTTGTTCAGTACGATGAACTTCGACGCGATGCAAAATATATTTATAACGCAAGGACACATCATTTTGTATGTCTAGCTAGTACAATTATTTATTTACTTGCTCGTTTCTGACTAAAAGTGACGCGCGTAACGCGTCATTTCAGCGCAAGAGGTTAATGGTTACCTCGCTGGGAGCTTTATCTTGAGGAGACCTACACCCAAAAGTTTAAAATTCATCAACAATCTCCAGTTTGATGTACTAGACACATGATCGTCGAAGTCTAGTGTCAAATAAATGGCAGTCGAACTCCGTTACCTCATTGAATAGCTGGCTGGAGACTTCGTCATCTCGACACCTACGCTCTAGACCTTCGACCCTAAAAGACCGTGGACTCTAAAATCCACCGATAATCTCCAGTTTGATATACTAGACACATGGTCGTCAAAGTCTAGTGTCAAACCAATGGCAGTCGAATTCCGTTACCTCATTGATTAGCTCGCTGGAGACTTCGCCATCTCGACACCTAGGCTCTAGACATCCGACGCTGCTAGACTAGCTTGATCCCTAGGTACTAACAGTTATTTAATTTCAATACTACCCCTTCCTCATTGCTAGATGCCTCAGTTTCGTATTATGAACCAGGTTCGTCCAGGTAGGGCTTTCGTAGGTCCTCGAACATCTAGTTAGACATCAAGTAACTAACAGTTATTTAATTTCAATACTACCCCTTCCTCATTGCTAGACGCCTCAGTTTCGTATTATGAACCAGGTTCGTCCAGGTAGGGCTTTCGCAGGTCCTCGAACACCTAGTTAGACATCAAGTCACGCGTACAGCCGGAGTCACGAGAAAGTGGGAGCGACGACAGTGTATGAGTACAGCTCGTAAAGGGCATTCGTGTCAGTTCCTCGCTCACAGATTTCCCCATCACCGGAACTCTGGCTTATTTGGGGCGTGGCTTTGCTAGCACGCGTCTCGCGGTACTTGGCTCGCCGAAACTGGTTCGTACGAGCCGCGGCTTGGACATGCCTGGATCATAACTTCAAGGTAAGCGTCTGGCTCTAGCAGGGTACGTCTCTGGTCGCGCTGGTCTCTACAGGTCAGGCGCACGCACCGCTATTGTCGGACCTAACTTGTTTAGTCACCTCGACCTGCGACCTTCGTCGACAATTCTCCCATTTTAACCACCTCGAAACAAAGCTGAGATCTTTAAGCCCCTATGGTTGAAACAGAATCGTCTCCTAAAAAGATGACCGTCAGCACCATTCTGTATTGTTACGATATTTTTATATGAAACGTTGATGCAAAACTATTTAATTTCGAATTCGTATGTATTAGGTCTACCGGAAAGTTCTGTCCGATAGTGTCACTTCAAGTTTCGACCCATATGCACATGTTGATTTCAGACATATATGACTATCTGTCTTTATCATTGCATTTACACACATGTACTCTCCTAAATAAACTGAAACAAAGATGTCTCATGGCATTATTAACTGAGACGCGATCGTGAAAACATGGCTACCGATGATAATGCCAGACCACACATGCTGCTTTGGCGACTCGTCGGAAAATCGCAGAGCTAGGCTGGGAAATTCTGTCGCATTCACCATACTCCCCAGACCTAGCACCCTCCGATTGTCACTTGTTTCTCTCTTTGCAAAACTTTTTACAGGAAAAAAAATTCAAAATTGAATCTGACGTCAACCAAGCACTGGTTGAGTTCTTCGCCTCTAAAAATAAATCATTTTTTAAAAATGGCATTTACAAGTTGCCATCACGCTGGCAAGAAGTCATAAGTAACGATGGAAAGTATATTCTACAATAAATATTATTAAATGTATGAAAATTGTGTTATATTTCAATTCAAAAACGGACAGAACTTTCCGGTAGACCTAATATTTGAAAAGCAACGCTCGCAATAGTTCGTTCAATATATACAAAGAATGATACGTATCTTTGTAACACTCCTTGCGTACTGGTTTCTGAAATAGTTTCTGAAATACAGTAATGTCTCTCTAATTGACGCTCAGATTGTCCACAAAAATGAACAATTTGGTAATAGGGGGTACGATTATTCGAGCCTTGCAGCTCGTTTGTATAATTGTTGACAGTCGGTAACTATAAAAACTAACTGCAAGGCTCGAATAATCGTATCTCCTCTTTCCAAATCGTCCATTTTTGTGCACAATTTGGGCGTCAATTAGGGAGACATTACTGTACTAGAGTACTGGATTGGAAAGCGACTGAATGCGAACCTAAGGGTCTGTGCCACATTTTGGTCGAAACTCGGTTAACCCCTTGCGCTACGATTTCTTTCACAGCTACGTTGATTAACATTCGTTTGTCACCTATAAATTCCTACATCAGATAAATTGTTTATATTTAATATTTCCCGTACTTTACTTCGATGTTTGAATAGTCATGAATTTAATTTCGATTTATGAGATGAGAACGGCATCCACATTCGGTAGGCCATGATCCAAATCTTCGTAACCAGTCTGACACGATATCATAGAAGAAGGGGTTAACAATATGATTCTACGATTTTAGTGCACTACTATTGTAGTAGTCACACTAGGTCCAGATATTCCCATTCATCAAGCTTACTCCGATCATATAAGAGTTCCGCGTCTTACTACCGTAGCACGCGACTCGGGGGTGGCTCGGTAACGTCTGCGGGTAGAAATCGCGGGAGGGGTTCGCGTCAGCGCGAAAAAATAGGTGGCGCAGGGTAACGGGGGAAGGACGGGATGGGAGAGTGAGAGAGCAGCCAACACATTTATCACGGGGGCGGTTTACGACTGTGCGTAATAACGTGTAAAGTGTCGAGCAGGTTCGTGCGCACGGGTCCGATGCGGCCAAGGCCGGAGCTGCCTGTTGGACCAGAACCTGAGCCCGCACTGCGTGAGGTGCGCCCGCAGGTGCCCACAGCCGCCCCCGCAACAGCGAGCCGCCGCACGCCCCGTTTGCGGGGCCGACGGAAACACCTACAAGAGTGCCTGCCACCTGCGACTCGCCGCCTGCCGCGCAGGTCGCGCCATTCCCGTCGCCTATAAGGGCCACTGCAAACGTGAGTCTCTCTCCTTTTACTCTTCTTTTCTTTCTTCGTCTCTCGCTGCCTCTCTCTTTTCTTTATCCTCTCCATCTCCTTCTTTCTCTCCGTCTCCTTATCTCTCTCTCTCTCTCTCTCTTTTACGTATCCCTCTTTCTATGTATCAGAGTTGAGCATTATTCAGATTGTTTCGAATAAATATGTATGTAAGATAATTATCCAAATGAATTCCTTTTAGTTGATTATTTTATTCATCATAAAAATTATTCTAATTATTCGAAGAATTCTTTATTCGAATGACTTCTTATTCGAAGAATTCTTTATGCGAATGATTTTCTATTCGAAGAATTCTTTATTCGAATGATTTTTTATTCGAATGATCTTTTATTTGAGTAATTCCAAAATATTCTTTATTTGACTAATTCTCTATTCGAATAATTCGACAAATTCTTTATTCGTATAATACGACAAATTCTCTCTCTCTTTATTCGAATAATTCGACAAATTCTTCATTCCAATAATTCAACAAATTCTTTATTCGAATAATTCGAAAAGTTCTTTGCTCGTATAGTTCTCTATTCGAATAATTCGAAAAAATCTTTATTCGAATCATTCGAAAAAGTAGTGTGGGAGAATAAACCGTATTCGAATAAACACTTTTATCCAGATAAATTCTTATTCGATTGGAATATTTCTTCGGCAATGTCGAATACAACTTTTATCCGTTATCCGAATAAAATGTTGCCCAACTCTGCTGTCTACGTCTCTCTCTCTCTCTCTCTCTCTCTCTCTCTCTCTCTGACTACATCTCTCTTTCCCTCCCTATTTCTCTTTCTGTTCATGTCTCTCTTTGTCTCCTTATCTCCCCGCCTCCCTTTCTCCCGTTCCGTTCCTCTCCCCATCCCCTAACGACTTTACGACCCGTTGTTTCCCTGTCTCGATCTTTCTCTCCGGCTCGGCCCTCCCCTTCTCTCTAGCCTCTGTTTGCCTTTTCATGGGGTTCTCTTTGCCCTCTCTTTAGCCTCTCTTTGCATTCTTCTTGGATGTTTTTTAGTCGGTCTCGCAGCGCACCGATGCGTAACCCGTGACGGAATGCTCTCCGTTGAATAAACCGAAAGAGAAATCGTAAATATCGAGCGGGGAGCAAGCGTTCCGTTGCTGATACGAAGATTGTGTTTCGATGGGACCCGCTGGGGCTCCGAAGAGTCGCGGGTCGGGCTCGGAAGGAGGCAGGGCTTCGATGCTTGATCGAGGATCATCGATTTATTGATTCCTTTTCTTAGACCGTGGCACTTGCCGAAGCGCATTTTCCGTGCTGCTCTCGTTCCTCGCTTACGCAATCCTTGTTTTCTCAGGGGTTTTATTCAAAGAATTATCTTCGCGGTTTATCTCGATGCGTGTATCTTGATGGTTTATCTTGACTCGTTCACTACTCTATTGATCCTAGGTGGTGACACAGTTCTTCGTCCGCCTTTGACCTTCTCGAGGTCCGAACTGTTGTATACAGTTCCTTTATTACTTATATTATATTTTATTTGATTTCATTTATCTCTATAACTGTGGGTTTTGACCTGTAGATACTAATTGTATAAATATGAATGATAATAACGATAATAAATGGAACTTATTGCAAAGTTATAGCTCGTGATCATGAAATTATTGATGAACGTAACGTAAATCAATGTAACTGGTGCAAGAATTTGCATCGCATACAATTATTGTTTAAATTATTTAATCAGGGTTCGTGAGATCTACAAGCGTTGAGGAAGTAATCACTGTGTCAAACTTTTACCGAGCTTAATGAATTTAACATCTGTCTGATTTTGATAAATTGTGGGTTGACGTGAACGTGTTAACACATCCCTCAGAAACTAAGTGACATAATGATCGGAGTTCGAAGTATTTTCCCAAAAATATAAATATTGCAAACGTTCTTCATCTCAACAAAACGCTGAATTAATTCAGCCCGGATTTTAAACATCGCGCGACCATACAGTATCGCGCGTGGAAACCTGGAATCGAATAATTTGCACGTATATTTATCTTAATCAGTCGGCAATTCGTGTAAATGTGATCTCGGAGGAATTGCATTTTCATCAACGTTTACGCGTAAGTGTCGCGTCCTAGCGATAATAAAATCAGTTTCAGTGCTACTCAAAGATTAAATTATCCGTCGTGAAACGATCCGCGGTTTTCACCGGGTTTTCTGCTTTCTTTCGAAGGCACCTGTTGCTCCCCGCGTGGAAGAGCGATTAAACGCAGGAAATCGGGATCATGATATAGGGCGCCTCTCGTAAAACCAGATGGGATCAATGGATAACAAACTCCGTTCTATAGAACGTTTTATGATGCTTCAATCTGACAGTGTTCTTCAATTTCACAATAAACTCGTCGAAGATACTACAGTAAATTCTTATTGACTCTCAGATTGTGCACAAAAATGGACAATTTGGAAAAACGAGATACGATCATTCGAGCCTTCCGGCTCGTTTTTATAGTTGTTGAAAATCGATAAATATAAAAACGAGCTGTAAGGCTCGAATAATCATATCTTCACTTCCTCCAAATTGTTTATTTTTGTGTACAATCTGAAGATCAGTTAGGGAGAATTTACTGTACTTCTTATATAGTGAAATCGATATTGATTTATCTATGCAACCTTTTTATCATTCTACGAGGTTTTCAAACATGAATTCCGACTAGTGTTTGGCCAGCAATCGATTACAAATTTTAATTCGATTAAACGATTCACGAAAACGATTAATGGTCGAAAACTCGACGATTGAATTAATCGATTGATGAAAGTGAACATCAATCGTCGATGGAGAAAATTTTATTAAATTCTTATTTTACTCGTTAATCTCGACTAACAATTGAAATATATGTAATCGTTAATTGCAATTAACGATTAACAGTAGTAATTCAATCGTTATTTGTCCATTAATTCAAGCTTCAGACAAAACAGTAGCCATATTCGACCACGTACGAAAACATCACTTATGACAACATAAAAGTCACAGTATCGATCCAGTCGCGAAAATGCAAAAATCGCCAAAGTGTTGCACGTTTCCATTTTTTGTTTTCTTACGAAGGCATCGTACGAACTGTGCCGGGACACGATAGTGTTTTCTGCGCGAGAAAAAGAAATACGGGTCTGCATGGAAAAGAGACGAGCAGGAAAGGGTGAAGGACGAAGACGAAGGAGAAGACGAAAAAAAGGGGGGGAGAGGGAAAGTTCAGTTCATTGGTGAGCGGCCGAGTAGCCAGACTGCCGCTGCTTTGCATCGGAATGTACCTTATTGTTGTCTGGTTTGCACAGTGCCGAATTCTTGTGACAGGTACCATAAAGTCACCGAGCAAAGTTATGCCTAAACAAGAGGTCCCCGGAGAATAACAAAATCATGGTCGCGCGCGAGTCTTCATCGAGGGCAACTTTCGAGCTCCGCTTTCCGAAACGTACCACCCACGCACGGTTGCACGTTGTTGTTTATACTTATCACGGGCGACAGATCAAATTGTTTTCAGTCGGACTAGCTGTGTTGCATCTTCTCTATTTTCTAAGTTTCAAAGCAATTTGCGACGTAAATGTGTCCTAAGCGTCGTTGGTCTTATTGTTATTATTTCTCGAATTAATCTGAATTTTTGGGAAAAATGAATGAAGCTTGAAAGATCGAAAGCAAAAAATTGAGATGCAAATGTTTTTAATTGCAAATTATTGCCTCGATTTTAATTGAAATTAGCTCTTGTTCAATTTATTTGAAATCTTTCGATTAAAACAGTTCTGCATTAAAAATAATTATTATTTTATAATCTTCGCAAGATGTAATCATATTTTTGTTCAATTTCAATGTAAGACGTGAATTTTACATTAATTTGTTGAGAATTTGAAATTCCACGCTTTCGCATCGATTTCTTGAAAATCGTGTACGTTTAATTGTCGCTCCGATACAGCTCTGCATTTAAAATAATAATTATTTTTTCATCTGCAAGGTGTAACAATATTCTTGCCCAATTTCGATGTAAGATGTGTTTTTTTTTCACACCAGTTTGTCGAGAATTCGGAATTCCACGCTCCCGCGTCGATTTGTTGAAAATCGTGTAATTTCAACGACACGGCATTTTTACGGATCATTAGCTCCGCCCGGCGGTTCGTAGGATTACCTTCCGAGAAAGAAGAATAAGATCTTCCTTCCAAGAAAATCAAGCCTTTTTTAACGTTCTCGTTGCAGTGTATTCTTCTCGGCGCGTTTCCAGACTCTTGATCTTCCACCCGTCATTTTATCCTTTTTCCAGGGATAACAGATCTTGGCCGTGCACATATTCTAGGAACAACCTTGCGCTTCTTTCGGCCTCGCTTTTGTTGTCTTTGCCTTTTCCAGATATTCTTTTCCCACCGCCGCCTAGCAATTGATCTCGTTACTCTTTGCTCGTTCGACGAAGCAAGAACAGCCGCGTGAACAATATTGCGAAGCAGTTGAGCTTCGTACAAAATCAAAACGGACAGATGAAACTGTATCATTTCTTTCATTACCGCATTTATTCAAATGTCACGAATTGGCGATTCTAAAATAAATCGTACAGCAATTTTAGGAAAGTATTTCATTAAATAGGAATTGTTTCGATCCGTGAAAAAGTTTTCGGATGATTTGGAAAAATGAATTTGACCGTTGTATGTTTTAAATGTATCTAGATCTATTGTGTATTAATGGGAAAACAAATGAACCTTTTTATGTACACTAAAAAACATTGTACAGCTCAATTGTACAACTCAACTGTACAACAAAATTGTACACCACAACCGTATCAACTCGAAAAGATTGTTTAACAAGTTGTTTAAATTAAATCATAGTATTTCGTTGGGTTCCCATGACTACATCCTGTCTCGCATAATCTAACGTCGATCATACCAGATTTTCGACCTGGCTTCAATTTTACCCCAAGCCTCTATTAATAACTTTTCTCAAATCATTTTCTGATACGCGGTGCACGATTTTGGCCGTGGCTCACTATAGCTAACA